TTAAAAAATATTAGGGATATTTCGTTTTTTTCTGATAAATAAAATCCTTTCATTTGTAATTTAAAGAAAATGTTTTAATGAAATATTTTTTCTCTAAAATGATTATTGTATATAAAATGAGTCAAGTCAATCCGCACTCAACATAACAGCATTGAAATTTTCTCATTTGAAATTGAAAAATAATTATACAAAATAAATTAAGGACATTTTATATGTATACATTCGTTTTAGGTATGTAGGTATATATATCAAGTGAATCCTTTTGTTCTTTTTGAATTTTTTTTTTTTGAAAAGAAATAATTTGCAAAATTTTCGAGAATTTTATATTATATGTGTTGTTAAAGAAAAAGGATTTAACTATGGTGTTTAAGATCATTTTCAGTATTTTAAAGAATAAAAGAAAATAAAAACAGGAAAATAAACCAGTTTCTCTTTCTTCCATCTTCTCTTATGTAATAAATTCCCAAAAATTTGGCTAGGGTTATAAAATTTAGAGATCCTTTCATTACCAAGTATTTTAAAATATAGTTTAAACTTTTGTTACACAAGATGAAAAAAATACTTAATTTAATTTCTTTTTCTAGAATATTTTTAAGAAAGCAAAGAAATACATGTGCTTACTAGTTTGTTTCAGTCCGTTCAGCCATCCGTAATATTAATTGAAAAACTTTTACTGATTTTATAAAAGAAGCCTGTAACTTAATATGAGAGTAAATATAGATCTTATGATAGATGTAAACATTCAAATTTAAAAAAAATTTTCAGAACATTATTAAAATGTCAAAATCTTCTAGAAATATAGCGACTCTTTACTTTTATTGTCAAACTTTAGAAACGAATTTCACGATTAGAAAGCTGCAATTGATTTAATCCATTTTCTTTTCAAATTATATCGTTTCTCTTAAACAGAAAAATTTTAGTTTTTGGCAGCCAATTTCTCTAAAACTATTAGAACAAAAAAAGTTGGTCTGAATAACATCTTCTTAACATCGAACACATATTAATATACTCTCAGTGACCTAACTAAACGAGTAATTAAATAGTTATAATAATTAATAGCTCAATTGTGATTGTGATGCAGTAATATAAAAAATATGTAAAAAGGAAAAACATTTAAAGAAAATATGCTTTGTTAAAAATCGTGAATTTAATCCAAGTTCATTTTTTTCCTTCCCCAATTTTCTTATTCAATATGGCTGTAGCTTAACAATATTTTATAATATTTAGAAATACAAGTGAATTTGTAGTTCATTTCAACGAAAAAATTGAAATATTCAAGAAATAAGTCAAGTATTTAATAGGAAAAATAATTTGAACTTGATGAGGGCTGAAAATTGATTGAAATTTTTTTAAAAACAAGAAAAAAAATTAAGAACACATCACAATAATATTGTTATGTTCAAAGATAATTTAAATCGTTTGAACCTATGATTTCAAATATATGTAAAAAAAAGAAAAGGTGAAAATTATTTTTCAAAGAAAAAACCTACTTATTATACAAACTCCCCGGTTTTAAAAATTTTTAATAGAAAAACGATTAGATATTTCTATTAAAAGAACGTATAATATTCGTCCTTAAAGAAAATTAAATTTCATGGATTTAATTTGAAATATTTTCTTGCATATATTAAAAAATACTTTACCGCATATAAGAGCATTACCATGAATACATTACATTAATAAACATATTTCTCTACAATATTTCAAAACCTATATTTATATATTTTTATATTTTTTATATTGTAGGTGTAAATTTATTATGCAAACCCACACAACAATCAACATACATAACTCAAACATAATGTTATAAAAATTTTAAATCCACCGATATCAAGGATTTTATTGTAAAGAATTTTGAACCCTATATATACTAAAAAATAAGCTACTCTTAAATATAGAAATTATTAAATTGCATTTGGAAATATTGGCACATACCTTTAAATAATATTAATAAACGTAATGGCAGATTCTATACAAATCACAAACAAAATTTTTAAACTCTGTAAAATTTCATGTCTCTTACCATACTAATTCTTCTTTCAACAAGAATGGGATTTGACATTATCGATGTCCATTTTAGTATCATGATTTAGTAAAACAAAACCGTTTCTTTAAAAATGTTTTCAATGTTTTTTAATAAATTTGAAAAATCTTAATAAATACTCCCTAAAAATATGCAATTTTTAACGGTATTATGAAAGTTTTCGTAATGTTCAGGTATTTGTAAGGCGAGTATAATACTTTAAAGTAAACCTAGTATTTTCTCTAACACAAGAGAATTGTATGACTTTTTTTGATATTTACAATCATTCATTCAAAAATATTTGTGTGCAACTCAGTTATTTGCGATAAACAGGTTATCTTGGAACAGTTTTATGCACATAAACAGTAATATTTATACGCAATATTAAACTGCACTTTATATTAATGCTTTTAAAAAATTAATTTTTAAATCAATAGAATAATTAAATCCGATTATTGGCTTTAGTCAATTCTCATCTATATAAACATAGATTGTTCACTTACAAAAGAATTATATACTTTCGCATAATTCATTTATTTGTTTAAATTTAAGTATATAACATAAGAACAACTAATAATTTTAATTTATCAATTTCTATAATACAAAAAATATTCAAATATAGTTAACATACACCTATACTGAAGCAGCAAAATCATATTAAATAAATATTTGAAAATATTTAAAAAGATAACCATATTAATTTTACCCAATGATTTTCATCCACAAATTTAGTCCTTATTTTAATAAAATACTTCATCATAATATACCTATTGAAATAATTATACATATAACAGTTATAATTGCATATTATAATTTTTTTTCAAAAGAAAATAATCTCTTTTTTTTCCAAAAATAAAAATTATCAATGTGTAAACAGAAAAAACTGTAACAGGTCTGGTATAGCATGAATAAAACTTAAATTTTAAATAAAAATATTGCAATTTTTGAGTACACCACTTTTTATTTTAACTTAAATTTTTTGTTTTTATTGCTGATTATAAACTCAAAGCAATTGCTAAAAGTTAATTCCAGCAGAAAAATCCAATTAATGTAGAAATTAATTTTTTTTTTACTTTTATTTTTATACCCGTACGAACGTATGTTCGAAGGGTATACTAAATTTGCCTTACCGTTTGTAACGCTAAGAAATAACGGTGTTAGATATAGACTCAAGTGTATGTTTTTGATCAGCGTCAAATTCTGAGTTGATTTAGCTTTGTCTGTCCGTCCGTCCGTCCGAACGATAACTCAAAAACTAATTGAGCTAAGTTCACCAAATTTTCACAAATGATTTATTGTAGTAAGTGCCAGAACCCTATTTAAATTGGACATGATCGAGGTACCGGTTGGGGTAGCTGCCATACAACTTCAAAATTTATTTGGCTATATCTCAGAAACTATAAAAGTTATGGTATTGAAATTTCACACAAACGAATATATTAGTAGGGCCATTATGCCCCATAAAAGTCGTTGAAATTACTTGGCTCCTTCTGGTACCTGCCATACAACTTCAAAAGTTATTTAACTGTATTTCAGAAACTATAAAAGCTGTGATATTGAGATTTCACACAAGTGAGTATATTAGTAGGGCCGATGTGCTTGATAAAATTCGCTAAAATTTCTTGGCTCTTTCTGGTAGCTGCCATACAACATCAATAGTAGTTTGGCACAACCAGTATTTTGAATAACACATAGTACTGAAATTTTGCATAAATTAATATGGTAATACGGCAACTTAAAGTCATAGTCTGCCCCATAGTTAGTTATGGCACATTAGTTATTCGCACATAGGATAACAAATTCGTACGGGTATCACAGAGTTGACAAGGTCAACTCTATTTTTTTCTCGTTTTTATATAAAAATTCTATTATATTTCATGAATATTTTTTATTTATTCATTTTCAATTAAATATCAACAATTTGAATAAATTTCAATAAACAAATAATTATCTCTTTAGTCAGAGTGTATAAAATCAATATAAATATGGCAATTGAAATTAAACTATGCAATTATTTTTTAATAAAAATTTATCAGTTATGATTTTACACAAAGCACAAAAAAATTAAATAAATATTTATGATTATTTTACATAATTAAAGTTAATTTACACTTAACAGTTTTTAATTCTAAAAATTATGTATTTATATAGTGCGGAATATATTATGTATGTAGTCAGGAAAAGTGAGGAATTTAAATATTAATTTTTATATTAGTTCTTTAAAAATCTTCAAAGAGATACTACTAAAAATTATTTAAATATTTCACTACCCTTTAATTCATTAAATGATTCTAATTTTTAGCACTTTTCCAAAAAAAAATTCAAAAAAAATTTCCTATTAGTTTCACTCTGTCCCGTCCGTCCGTGGACATGTTTAAAAAAACTTATACACCATTGAATATAAAAAGCTGAAATTTGATATGTACACAGGCCTTTACTAGAAACTTATTTCCGTAGAAGAAAATTTTTATTTATCTCCCCCCCTTCCCTCCTTTCCCCACCCTCATCCCTTCACAAGTTATCGCCTCTCCAAATTTGTAAAATTTGAATTTTTGATGCCTTATATTTCCGGAACCACAAGCTTTTCCAAATTTCTAAAAACGCAAAAAGCTAACTGTAAATTTCATACCATTAAAGAATATAACTACTTTCCTTGACTCAAGCAATTAACCCTTAAATTCGAACATTAGAATCAAAATTTGAGCAATTCGTTATAAATTATTCTCTACTCTAAAATCTTATTTTATCAATGACCTATTTAAATGTAAATTTAAGAATAATATTAATAAAAATTTGTAATTTTGAAGTTGTTATAATACAAAATTAAAAAAAAAATGTTATATTAAATTTTAATGCAATTTATAAATGGAAATTGTTTTTTAATTGATTCTTTTTAAAATTATTAAAAAAATTTTATTTAAAATGCACTTATTTTCACACTTTTTTTTAATTTGTTTCTATTCTTTTTTTTAATTTCAGATCTCATTTTCTTGTTTGGATCTATTGACGATACGCTATGATGATATTAAGTAAAAATGAAAAAAAAAAATAATAAGAAAATTCTTATTTAATCCTTAAAATTCTATTTTATTTTTCAAAGAAGTGAAGACCATCATAGTAAGAAATGAAATTTTTCCCTTTTTACAGTACAAAAAGGACTTAGAAAAATTCTATTAAAGAAGAAAAATTTTCATTGAAATTTGCAGGTTATTATTCTCATTTTTTTCTCTTTAATTTTATTTATAAATCATTATTGAAAATAATTACTTAAAAAATTAAAATAAAATTCATTTTATGAAGTAATCAAAAAGCTATTCTTAAATATAGTTGAAGATTGCATCATATTTTCTGTACGACTGTTCCTTCGGTAGTCAATTTTAAAAAATTATAGAAAAATTTACTATACAAGTAATTATTAGAATTTAAAATTGAAAATAATATTGCAGCCCAACAAAGATCCAGGGAAATAATATGAACCCTTTTTTTTTAAATTAAAATGTTAAAATAATTTTGTAATTAGTGTTTGACTTCTATATTTGGATCTCCTTTCCTACTTAAGAAATTCAAAGAAACAAAATTAAAAGTTGAATGAAATTTTCAAATTGAAAACCCCAACATAATGAAAAGAATTTAATTGAAAAAGAAAATTAGGTGCGGATATTTTTCGACCATTTCTTTTATTTGAATTAAACAGTAGTCAAACAACATGTTACACCATACCAAGAAAAAAAAGGGGAATATTTTTAATATTATTAAGGTCACAAAATTATTGGTATGATAATTATTATTCTTTCGTCCTTTATATCATGATAGAATCTTTAAGATTTTAAAGCAAAAAGAAAAAGAAATCGCAACGGCACTAAAATTAACTTTTTTATTAAATTTTTTAATTTATACCTTCTTTCCTAAATTTAAATTAACATTTCCATTATGGATTTGAAAATCCATTTTTAACACTTTTGAAGGGAATTATGAAGGAAACAGGATTTAAATGTGTAGACGAATTTCATTTATAATTAAGAATTTTGAGTTACTCAAAGTTAAATTACTCAAAACTTAGGTAATTTTTCGTATTCTATGTTGAAATATTTACTTAAAATAATGAGAACTCACGTAATTTCACATTTTAAATAAGTTAAGCAGGATGTGAGTATTTTAAAGTTGACTGGGTCAACTTTAACATTTTTATAATATTAATTTGTTCCTTGTTTTTTTGTTTACTTTGGGTTTATTATCCTTTTTCATTCTTTCCATTTTCTTAAAAATTGTGATTCTAGGTTCAATGGATCCTTTTACAATTTACTTCATTTCCTCTTTATCTGCTTCCTTCTTCTTTTATCATATACTTTCCATTATTTCTTTATAATTACTGTAACGTTGTGGAAAGGACAGATAACTTTTGAATTATTTATATTAAAATTTTTTTATTAGTATAGGCCCCATCTTTTGGAAAAAGAAAACACAAATTATTTTCTTATTGGTAAAAGTAAATCTCTTAATTAAAGTCTACATAAAGTATGGTGAAATTTTATGGTGATTTATTACGCGCCTAGCGATTTATTAAATGCTAATTATAAATTATAAAATTATGGTTCACATTTTTTCTAAAATTTTCTATATTTTTAGCATAAAAAAATTTTCGGAAAATTGTTTTAATTTCTTGAATTCGGTCGCCTGTAAGTCAATTTGAAAAAGTCCACAACAAACTGCTGAAATTCTACAACTAAATTCATTTTATTAAGAGAATTATTTTTTTATTACAAATTTTTGACCCAGTTCCTCCAAGGTTTCCAACTCAAAATTTTATTTAAAACTGAAACGCGTTTCATTCATGTGAAAAATTAATTTAGTATCACAATTTTTCCTCATATTCAACAACAGCATTTGTGCTCTAATAAAGTACTCTATTACATTATTTTCATTTGATGTGAAATTTTAAATTTATCACATCATCAATTTTAATACTTTTATAATTTTGCAATCCGCTGTTTGCTTCATTTAATGTATAAGATCTTGTTAAATGGTGAATTTTAGCGAATTTCTACTTAAATTGAATTTTATAGTGTCAACATCATCACTATAAAATTCAATTTAACATCATATTATACATACATACATACATATGTAATTTATATTTTTATTCTTTTTGTCCTTCATAGTGAGTATGAAATTCATTTGAATCATTTATCCTATTTACTTACGCGTCATACTACACACACGCTTTTTCTCTTTTTGAATGTGTTTTAACTTTATTTCATGAAACTAGAAAAATGTACCAATATATTTTAATAAAGCAAAATGAAGCTCTTATTTATTACAATACTCACTCTTCTACTCATGGTGTCACATGTATGTTTTAAAGGTTTTTATCATTTTCAGATAATTTTTATGTTGAAGTTAGAGTTAGTAAATTAAGATCAAAAAACACTTAACGCTTCCTTCAAAATAAACTAACTTCCTGTCTTATTAAAATTTTGACTACCTTTCGCACATGAGTTCGCATTATTAAAATATATTTTTCAAATAACAAACTTTTCAATGCTCATCGCCCTTTGCTGCAATGTTGCCATAAGTGTTTTCCATATAAGATATTTTTTGATCACTAGATACAGCGTCCTCATGTGAAAAGCACGAACATAACTCCCCAAGTTTAGCTCACAAAATTGTTACGACAACCCCTATGCTTTGTTAATGCTCCCATCGAAGAGAAAATGCTTTAAGTTTTATTTTCGTTTTGAACTCGTCAATTAAATACAACGTTTGTTTTTTTTGTTTTTTCAAATTACTTAATTGAAGTAACATTTGCATACTGCACAGTTCTTATATATACACACATTTCCATTACATATATTTTGTTTAAATAATAAATTTAATTTTTTTTTATAGGAGCTTCCAAGTTTTTACTTTAAAACCAACCGAAACCCTGAAAAGAAGAGAAGCAAATTTTTGGATGAAAAAACAACTGCAAATAAAATCAAATATTTGCATTCAAATGATGGCAGCATTTTGGAAACGCAAGACTTATTATGAAATTTTCTTTTATTCAAGTTAAAGCGGGCGAAAAACAAAATCACTATCTTCAAAAAGCCTATGAATTAAATTATAATGGCAAATAAATTAACGCTTTTATACTTCAAAACGCAAAATTATAAGAGTCTGCAATCATTCGAATAGGAAATGTACAAATAGACAAAACAAGAAATATATAACAAAAACAAAATATATCATACAGCGAATAGGAAAAATTTAACTGATATTTCCTAGGATTCAATAACACCAACATATAGTAAAGAAGAAAGCTATGCTAAATATATTGTTACTTTTACAAAATCATCATGAACATGAATGCTGAAAATACAAATTTTGATTACAACACCAATAATAACATTAATAGCAGCAATTTAATTTCTTCTTCATCATTATCAAACTCTCGACAATCTCTTCTATTATTATTCGATATCGAAACAACTTCAACAAATCTTTCAAATTTTGCTCTACTACAAAATAATATTAGCGGTAATATTGGAGGAAATAATATCATTAATAGCAATATTGGTGGATTTGTTAGCAGTTCATTAACTACAAATAATATAAGTGGTGGAAGTGGTAGCAGTGGTAGTTTTTCCGGTATCGATATCAGTAATAATCTTCCAATAGTCGGTCCATATTCAAGTGCCAGCGATAATAGTATTAGTATTAATAGTGGTAGCAGTAGTTTAAATAATCAAAATAATAATAATTATTTTTTTGAAATGATTTCATCACCTAATTTAACTGCTGATGAATCAGTTTCCTTACCAATTGCAATAGGTGTATCTAGTGATCAAAATATTGGCAATCATGGAAGTGATATAATAAAAAATATTCATGGTATTAATGGTGACGAATCAATAGGTTTAGGAGGTATTAATGTTGCTAAAAATATTGTAATCAGTGATCAAGCAGTAACATCAACATTTTTTAACAATGATATAAATATGATAACAAATGATGGTTATGGTAAAGATTCGTTAATACCAGATATAATGATGGGTGATCCGCCACCACCTGATACAATCGTTTTATTAATAAAATGTTTTATAATTGGTTTCATTATTTTGGCTGCAATATTTGGTAATATGCTAGTTATCGTATCAGTTATGCAACATAGAAAATTAAGGTAAGTTAAAATCATTTTTTTTTATTCAATAAAATTTTGAAAATATTTTCCTTTCGATTTTAGAGTTCCTTTTCTTGAATAAGCGGTCCTTTTTGAACTAAGCTCTTAAATACAAACGTTAGCTTTGATTTTCTCGATTTTCTCGAATATTCTCACATACTATGATTAGGTAACATGAAAACTTTGATAATAACGGCGTATACTATGAAGGCAACACACTCTTTTAAACAATTTAAATTCTTAAATTTTACTTAAATTTGAGGACGAAAATATTTACGAAAAAATATAAAAGTAACAAGTAAATTCGCTTTTTGAAATAAAAGTTTTCACCAACTTCACCAACTTTTTCATTAGATATTCAAGTTTAACAAAAAAATAATCATTATTCATTCTCATACCATGTAATTTAAATGCAATTAAAATAAAATTATAAAATTCTAACAAAAAAAAAACTAAAACAAAAATATAAGAATAAATTAATTTTGCAAAACGGTTTCTCCTCATAGATGTACCATAAATCTGGTTGCTTACCATATCGTACAGATGTGGAATATTTCAGTATAGTTGTACGGAAATTCACCATGAATAAATATCTGTACTACCGACTCATATAATTATGCATATGAATGTTTATATTCATATACAAATGTTATCTACAATTTGTATACAACGCAATACGAATTAATTTTATAATTACATGGTATCGTTAAATTATCCAACAGTACAATGTATATAAATGTGTACATACTTATACATACGCTACATAAGCATTTAGTGCATAATTATATTCTCAAAATAAAAGAATAATATTGCTCATATGTTGAAGCTCATATACTTTGGTATAATAATTTCTCAAAATTAATTGTTGAGATTAATATGTTGATGTGAAAGAAAGAGTAAAGAAGATAAAAAGCTTTAATTGTACCTGTAACGTAACGTTATCCAACATTTTTGTGGTAAATTTAATTTCTTTCATTTGTAAAGAATTCATTGCTATTTGTTTTCACTCGAATAACAATCTTTTATTACAGTTTTCTTCCTCACTGTTGAAAAAAATGAATCCAGAAAAAACTGGAAAAACTCATCAATTTATAATAATGTTGAAATATATAACTACATCTTTGTCACCAATTTGGGTAAAGCGTACAGGTTCAAGAAGCATTGTCTCTAGATTCCGATGGTTGATTATCTTCTTCCACAAAGAACCACTCCCTTCTCTTGTAGGCTAAAATTCCACGTTGCATTTAAAATTACTTCTACTGGTCTTGCCCACAAAACCTGCACATGCCATATCCCCCAAAGTCCCACGTTTATCGTTTCTAATAAGCCATAAAGAGATTCCTGTCCTATACAAAGATTCTTGAAAAATTTAATTTGTATAAGTTCATTGGAAATTTTTATTAATATTTTAACCTAACAGCTCCTTTTTTTACAAAACTACGTTCTGTATGCATTGCACTCCCTTGTCTTTGTCTTTAACAAGCCAAAAGTTCAAATATTTAATGTAAGATACATTATTATACAATTCCTTCTAAAAACAAAGAAGACGAAGAGTTTGAAACACTTCTCCATGTAAAATTAATGACCAAACCGCAATATTATTACACAATAATTAACAATAATTTTTCCTTTTTTTTTAAATCGCGTTTAATGATTCCATTTTCCTCCTTAACGATTTCATGGTTTACAAAACCTAATAGTCGGATTTTTAAGTTTTTACAACTCATAAAGTTACGCTGAATGCGATTATAAAAAAGAAACACATAATTTTTGTTTGTTTTTCATTTTGCCAAGGACACCAACAAAAAAAAGGATTCATTTATCTGAGAAGCGATAAAAAAATAAGAATGACATCTTCATATAATACGCTATGTACTTATATATATTTATACAAATTTGTTTGAGTATAAACCATACCTACTTACAATATTTTTATTTCTTTTATGGCATAAACGCAAGATATTTATAATACGTAACGGTAATATAATTCATTATTTCACCATCATTTCAAAAAAAGATAATATTCATACGTCACTATAAGCATAGGGATAAAAAAAATAAAATTCACTTGATCAAACCAATGGTTCAGTTGACAAAAATATGGCATTTAACTTTGACAATGTTCCAAGACACGAACAAATAAAACACTTCTCTGTACTGAAAATATTCTCTAAATAATTTCATGGCCATTTAGTAAATTTTAATGGGCCATAACTTAGGAAGGGTCCAAATATGGAAGTGATATTGCTCTAATAAAATAACAGTATATTGCTATCTAACAAACAAACAAATTTCAAATTTCTTAAGTTTGCATTTGACAGAAAAGTTGCAGTAACATTTGATTCAAAATGGTTTAGGCAGTCGCGGAATAATATGATTACTTTGCTTATAATTCTAACTTTTGCTTACAATTTTTCGCAACAAGTTTTATCAAAAAATTATATTTTCGTGACTCTGTCATTAAGGGTGTAGAAATTTTACAAACAAACGGACAGACAAGTAGACGGATAGACACTGAAAATTCAAATATTTCTTAAAATGTTCTAAAAAAGCGTATGAAATGAAAAGATTTTTTTTTTAATATTTATGAAGCATATTTTCATTTTATATGCGGTTGTATATGTTCGTACATATGTATGTATATGTATGTACATATGTATATTATATAGGGGTACAATAGGAAAAAATCAAGCAATGAAGTCAAAGTTAATATTGTAGATTAAAAACGATTTATGTTTATGAGCCATGAACAACAATGAAATTACAATTTTAATGTTCTGTTGTATAAAATGGATTAACGGTAAAAATTAAACCGTTAACTCTATTGTAAATTAACTAGAAAATCTTAAAATTTTAAAAGCTCTTTCTACAATTTGTGAGTACCTTTTAAAAATTTTACATATTATTCTGAGTTTTAAAAGAAATTTTTTATTTATCATGTGACTTTCGTTTTTAGTTTGTCAATTGTTCAAAAGTGGGGTTGGAAAGTTGTTATATAGCCCTATAATTAAACTCTATTTCATACCAAATTAATATCGAAAATATATAAGTCATAACAAAGTATGCGTGCCGCACAAATTCAGCAAATCAGTTGCCGTTAGTTGAAACTGTTACAAAATTACAACGCTATTTAAAAATGATTATTATCAAAACTGAAGCGAATAAAAGGAAATTATAGGAAATTTGAAAAATAATATAAAAAGCAATGATTCAATAAGATTAACCATATGATTCATTCAATCTGTATCGTAACAGGCATGAGACGGCGGAAGAATTAATTTAACTTTTACGCCCTCCAAAATTTTAATTTATTAAACCTACTATATAGTTGTGCGAAAGCCATAAAATTTCCAGCCATCGTATATAACCTATAAAATCTCTGTTACAGTAACAAGTCAAAATGAAATAAAAATTTTTTATTTTCTAATTATAAAAATTATGACTTTTTTTTATAATTTAAAGTTTTTCGTAATTCGAATTTCAGAATGACAAAAAAAAAAAACAAAAGCATAATTTTGTAGTCGACGTGCGGCGCAACGAACAAGACGGAGCCATAAAATTTTAATTCAAATCTTTTTTATAATATTTTAATTTTAACTTTTTATGGAAAAAAAATTTATTAATTGTATATGAATATTAATAAATTCTTAAAAATAAAGATAAAAAAAATTTTTCAATTACTGTACAAGAGATTGCCTTCAATATGGATTTGAATTGGCGAAAAAAAAAATTTTTTCTGCATATTTTGTTGTCTTCCTTTTAATTAAATAAAAATCTTATCCTTATTTGTCCTTTTATTCTTATCCTATGTTGTAAATTGATACTTTTAATATTGATATTGAATTTTTTTAATAAATGAGGTAAATGTATGCAATGTACACATACTATAATAAATATTATGATGAATAATAACGTTAAAAAGACCATAAAATAAATGAAATTCCACACGCTTTATAATTGAGAAAGTTTTTATCATCTTTTGGTTTCAAACAAAATGGCTTACATGAGAGCTTGCTTATAAAGAAATTAAATTTTTTATATCATATTATTTAATTATAATGGAATTAAAACGTTTCTCTTGTTTTATTTGTTTGTTATTAGTTTCCCTTAAAAACGAGAACAGAATTATGGGGCACATTAAAATTTATGAAATTTTTTCCTCTCATTACACTCTACCCTTTAGGGGAGATTTAATTTTAATAACATTGATTTTAATTTTAATAACATTGACTGATTTATTACTTTTATTATACTTAGAAAACAAAAAATGTTACATCGCCGAATGAAATTTTCGAACATTTTACCTATATAGTCCAATTCATTTTAATGCAAACGCGTTAACAATATAGATTTTATACAATACACTATTAAAATAGCAGATTAGATCATAGAATATTTTCAAGAATACAGACGCATTTATGGCTTTTTATTTAAATAATTACCTCGTATAATAATCTTGAAACGTGCCTATAAAGCAAATCTATTAGAAAAAATTCTTAATACAAGCGATTACTTTCAATAATTTTCAATTTATCCCTACCAATTTTTATTAAATTTAAAGTTTTATAATAAAACATCAAATGTATATGTGTGTGTATATGATAATTAATATATAAATAATTTTTCTTTAAATATCTGTAACAAAGGTCTTTGAATGAATCTCTATTTAATCACAAAAAATTATTAAAAAAGCAAAATATATATTATCTCTATCTATTTTTATTATCAATAGAAATTCTATATCTTATCATCATAATCCCTCACTTCTCTCATTAACTTAGTCTATATACTTTTGGGATATCCCATTTATTATGATTAATTAAGCAGTATTTAATAAGAAACAACAAAAATAATTAAGAATAGACTTGAAATTATTTTATTTTGAATTTTATTTAGTGGAATAATTGCTTTTATTTCAAAACATTAACACAAAAATTTTAACTTGTTTGAGTCTGAAATTTGTTTTTAACACCATTTTTTATAATATTACAAAATCATATTTCATTTATTTATAATGAAAACCATTAAATGGGCACTGGAATTGTATAATTTAATTGAGAAGTAATTAATTAATGAACGACTTGCAACCCTATATAAAATCAGAAAATCAATAGAAAAAAATAAATTAAAAAAGTCTATTCTATTGTAAAATCTATACGGATAAAGATAACGAAAGCAACGGATCACACGAAGCAACGGAAATATGCCAAATACAGCGGCATTCAAAACTTCTTTTTGACCGAGCATCAGAATTTTTTATTATCTGACATATTCGCCAGTTTATGAAATTCATGTTAGAAAATTCAAATCCGGAATTCGGGATTCTAGAAAAATTTTTTGATAAAATTTGAATTCCTTAGTGTAGCATATTAAAATTTCTAAATGAAGCTTTAATATTAGCGAATTAAAGTGGCTATCATAATAGATATGTTTAAAGTGAAGGAATTTAAAAAATTTTGACGCAAGTCCGTTATTTATTAGTAGTTATTCGGATTTTTCTGCTGATTTCTCCTAACTGTATACAGCACATAACCCTTACGACAAATAATTTTAAAGATCTATAGAGAAACCTAAGTCTAAGAAGGTTAATAATTTTATCTTTTAAATTAAAATCTCATTCAAAATTATTGGGGATAACGTTATAGTTCTTTACCTTGTTACACGATATCATATACATTTATAATTTTTTTCCGATCATAAGGAACTTCGTATTTATTACGAAATATCTAGAAATAAAAAATTAAGGATATAAAATGACTTTGATGATAGTTAAATTAAATTTTATCTGTTCGATTACTTTTGGGATTTTTATAGAAAAAAAAACTGAAAAGAAGGTAAATTATAGAATTTAACAAACAAGCAAACAATCAAGGAAATCAAAATAAACAAACGTTAAAGGATAAGATAAACGTAATAATACACTACTATATTTTAATATTTATAAAAATATTATAAAAACGTACTACTATACATACATCTATACATCTATTCATACATTGTTGATTGATTTACATCATTATAAATATTGGATTTCTTCCTTTAAAAATATTCTTTTGATGTTCAAAAATTGGATTTTTTATCCAAGTATAATACGAATACCTATAAATAAACACATCTATATGACTGATATATAAAATAACTGAAGTTTTCTTTGGATTTAACAAGGAAATATACTTAAATATAAAAGTTTTCTAATCAATAATATTCTTACATGCATACGTATAAGCAAGTATGTGCAAAATGTTTTTAAAGGAATCTTTGAGCATTTCTAGAACTTTAAAAAAATTAAATCTTAAATTTTTTTATTGAAATTTAAGACATTCCTACATTAAAATTTCAATTCACTATAGTAATTAGTTTATCTACTTCAAAATAGGTTTAATTTGTAATCCAAGACTTTAATATGATTATGATCTTCGAAATAAAGATGAATTTTTCAAGATTTAACTTAAATTTCAAGAGCCTTATACTACAATTCATAAAGTGCTAGAATTTATTTTCTATTGCAATAGCATTTGAGTTAGTTTCGACTTTGATATTCTTATATAATTCTTGTAAATCATCCTTCTTGATTTTCTTCCTATTAGCTTTTCTTCACTATGTCAAATACTCTATTGCAAGTAAAATGCAATTTCATACTTTATTTTTCCAACTAATTTTTTTTAGTTTTTGACATTATTAATATTGTTACTCTTACTTATTTTTTTTAAATGAAAAGGTAAGGGAATCCTTTTTAATTCTAACTGGTAATTATGGCAACAATACTAAAATTTAAATTTATAAATCAGGAAAAAAATTTTATTGAAAAATTTCTTATGCAACACAGCAAACACATTCAATCTGCTTAAAATTAAACTCACCACTTACTCGTTCTCAGCAAACTATCATAAAAATTATATCATTTTTTTTTATATTGTAAGATTCATTGATTCTCTTGTTAATAAACTCATGAACCAAAGAGAATTTACAATAATAATGATTTAATGCAATAACAAACTACATACATATATAAAGAGTAAACTAACCACAAAAACCGTAACAGCCACACAGAAAGCAAATCAGCAAAGAATTAAGAGAAAAAACGAAAAACAACTCAACTGCAAAGAAAAGGTTAAAGTATTTCCGTTTTTTCTTCTCTTATTGTTGTTATTTCCTGAAGGCATAATCTGAACATTTTAAAAAAAAAAAACAAAAAAATGAAAACAAAAATCTTTTATTTTTTTTCTCTATACAGTTTTAAGAATTTTTTTTTTAAAGATGAAGCTAAAAGAGAAGAAACAAAATTTTATTCTTATTTTTTCACTTTAAATATCCTTGAAAAGGATTCCTTAAAGTTTTTTGTATTCTTTTAAAAAAAGTTCAACATTTCTCTTTTCAATAAAACTAAAAAGAGTAGAACGAGAAACTACATTGAACTATTTCTTCAATTGTTTAATGGAAATACCGTAATTTCAGTGTCATCCCGGATTGAACTCACTTTAATGACAATCAACAAAAATATCATTAAGGTTTGTTAAAATATTCAACGATTCATTAGTCGTACTAACCAAATTGGAACGAATTTTTAATTTTAATTGTTTTATTTTAAGAATGCGTCACAACTATGTAGTTAAACTTTATCTTGGCATTATTTACAATGGGAATTTAGTACCCATCAAACTTTTCACTGCAATTTACAAATTCTTGCATCATATCAATTGATAAAAATAAAAAAAATTTAATGCATTTGCAAGAAGTTTATGATTTTAACAACTGAAAATCCTCGAAGGACCTCGCATCGCACAAATATGAATTTTTTTTTAAATTAATTTAAAACCCATTTAATTTATTTTTTTTTGTACAAGCAAGGGATTACTGTACTATAGTGATCTCGATAAAGAAAATTTCTTTTAAAGTATGGAAAATTTTTAATGCTATTTCTTCACTTTAAGTCATTTAAACCTTCCAAATGGGAAATGTTAATTTTTCTTATTTCAAAATTTAAACCTGAACCTCGCTTTAGGTTTTATTCAGTGATTATTAGTACACAGAAACTTACTTAATAAAGGAAAGAAATTTACTACAAGTGATCAAGAAGCAAGTTGAATATAACATTCCTAATAATACTTTGAACAATTTTTTTTAAAATTAATGCTGGTCCGAACCAAACTAAAACATTTCACGATCAAGAGAGCCCATCTTTTAGAGAAAATGTGATTCATTTCTCAACTGCAGGAATTGTAAAGTTAGTTAATTATTCTATCATATTATGAGCGTATAAAAAAACCGTGAAATATAAAATGAAAAAAAATTGTAAGATATGCATTTTCAAAACTCCATTTTAACAGAAAAAAGTTGAACATTTTTTGTGTGCCTTTAAAGCTGTCTGATTTAATAATACAGTTATAAATTGTCATAAACTTGCGATTTAAGAAAAAAGGGAGAAAAGCATTAATAATATTTTTACGCTGTTATGGTTTTCTTATACGTTGCTCATCGAGGAAGAATAAAATATGAATAAAATATGTATAATAAAAAATGCAAGGAAACAAGTTTGTAGTAAATCAAAGGTGAGCGGAGTTAAATATTTCTCGTAAACAATGGACTACAATATTACTCTTTAATAATAACCGTACACATATGCATGTGAAAATTTTGCATAATGTAAGGCGTAATTACACCGAATTAGAAAATTTTTATAGGAGGCAAAACCTGTGTTACGAGCCGTTATGTAAACGAGTACGCTCAAGCTTGCTCATCTTATATAATCCAGCAAAATTTTTTTAAATTGAAGGTGGTTAGACAGTATTGAGCACTTTTAAATTTTCCCATTGATTGAAAAATATGCTAAAATTATGAAAGCACAGCAAAATTACCACAAAAAATATTTTTCAAAAAGCATGAAATATATTACTTTTCCCTTAACTTTCCAGATTGTTAAACTTTTCGGAGTTTTCTATATAACAAGTTCTGCTGAAAAAGCACATTAATTTATGAGTGAATATTTATAGTGTGAATGTTTGCATGTTGATATTATGTATGTACGAGTATATATATATATCAATTGTGTATAACATTTGCGCATAATTTAAAATTGGAGTAATAAAATGTGATCAAAATGATGAACTGTTATGATGATGTGAATTTAATATCAATGCATTTATACGGGTAAAAGCTTTTTGAATTTTTAAATGTGTGACATTTATTTGAGAACATTATATAACATAAAATTGTACTTGTTTTAAGTTATATATACCTACAGCAACCATATTTTTTATTCGTTTGTCACAAGAATAACATCAACAGAAAATTTTAATGTTGTGATGGACAATATGTCAGAAAATCAAAAATAATTTTAAAGAAAATTATTAAAGTTGTACATTTTATGTGTGTTAGTAGTACACACTTATTTCCGTAATAATTACAGAAATGTTATATAAAGTGTTATATTCTATGTACAATGCTATAAAATTTAAAGTGATGATGTGCACAATGTCGGAAAATTTTAAAATTAAAGGCACACAGAAAATTCTGTTTTTGTTTGTGTAAGTTAATGAGTAAAGAAGAAGAATAATATTCCAATACGAATAGAATTGCCAGAGCTTCATAAAAATTTCTTAAATTCACTAAATGCGATAGAGAATATTTTAATTTAATATAGAAATAGAAGATACAAACTATATTAGAATAATTGATTATTATTGATTTTAAATATTAAATTGAATTAGGAATTTTAGCTTTCATTTTAACTACTCTTGCTTATTCTAGGATATAGCTACTTAAAACCTTTTTTCAATGCAATTTTTCGATTGATTGTGTCTGCTCTCTGAAATATTTCCAATTATATATTTTTAACCAGCATAATCTAAATGGGGGATATCCGTTTAGAAAAAATCGACAAGTGGTATACCTATTACTTCTGTACAATCAAACCGTACTAAATTTTTTAAATAAAACTATTAAAGAAAAACTAATTTAGGTTTCATATTTAATTAAAGATTCTTTTATTTTTTACAGGGTCATTACAAACTATTTTGTCGTATCATTGGCTGTGGCTGATATGCTTGTTGCGCTGTGTGCAATGACATTTAATGCATCCGTTGAAATTTCTGGGAAATGGATGTTTGGATCAACAATGTGCGATGTTTGGAATTCATTTGATGTTTATTTTTCGACAGCTAGTATATTGCATTTATGTTGTATATCAGTGGACAGGTAAGCTATAAATTTTTCTCTTAAATAATTTTAAACTTTTCAACTGATATAGCATGAGATCTTGTATTGAACGTTACACAATTTAGTAACAAAAATTAAAATATTGCGATAAATTACGCCCATTAAACGTCATTAAACTGAGCCTGATCATTGGTGCAGCGGTTATGGCACCAGCCCTTTAACCGAAGGGTCTCGGGTTCAAACCCCGGTCAGGTCCCTATAAAAATTATATTCAATATTATATAACTTAATATGCAATACTAATAAATATTATACAAGTAATTTTCAAATATTCATAATATTCGAAACTAAAGACTAAGAAAAATAAATAGTAAATATTAATAAACTGAAATATTTAATATAAATAAAAAAAAATAAAAAACTACGGTAGGCTAGTCACCTACCTAGCTAATTCTCTACGACTATAGAAAATAGGGCATGATAGATATCATGCACTAGCCCTATACTCCTCCTATCCTATGAGTGAAGAAAGAAAGCAAAAAAAAAAAAAAAAAACTATTAAGAGCAATTTAAGGTTTCATCAAACTTCCACAGCATTACTATAGACTTTTCTTTCAATAATTTAAAATTAAAAATTTAACACAATTTATATAAAAATATAATAGTACGCAAGTATTTGTATACACCAAATTGCTTTTTAACTCATAATGACAACTTATATCCTTTGCGAAAGCAAATGAATTAATTCTACTATAATTTATTATAGTTCATTTTCAAAATTTCCGCAAAATAAATAACCTTTTAAATAACCAATTCCACATAGACCAGAGAGAACTACATGATGCTTAGTACACTTCAGTACAGCAATAAACAAATATACGTACATATAACGTACTTAATTATAAATACCTAACACTCAATAAGGATTAAGAGTAGCTCAATTACTATATGTATGAGTATTAGTAATTGTCAGCTCGTGTCAAAACTGTAGACTTTTAATGCTCATTTATAACTTTTTTTTCTCTCTCGTTCTACTAAACAATACGTAATACTCACATAATGATATAAAATTTTATCATTAAAAAAATAATGGTAATTTGAACGTGATTGAAAAACAAACCAGTTATTTTTGCTTTCAACCAGTTATTATTTTTTTATTATTTTCTTTTGTTATTTGCTAGTATATTATTTTATAGCATCAAATGTTTTTCCTATATACACATTCTTTATTACATATACTGTTTACATACATATAATTCTTTTGATTCAATTTATTTCCCTTATTTTTTATATACAATTAATATAGATACTATGCCATTGTTAGACCACTTAGTTATCCTTTAATAATGACACATTCAAAGGTTATGCTCATGTTACTTATTGTGTGGATGTCACCAGCGCTTTTATCATTTATGCCAATATTTTTGGGCTGGTACACAACATCAGAGAATTTGGAGTTTTTACAACAAAATCCGGATGTAAGTATATATGTATTATGTATTTAATATTATGTGTATATTGTAAATATATTTTAAATATAAGAATGTGAAAATTTAGAGTTTTGAGTTAACTATGAAAATAGAATTATAAGTAATTTTTCCGTTCAATATTTTGATCGATAGATTAAGGACAATGCTATTTTGCTTTAGATTATTTAAGTTTTGATTAATTAAGTTTATTCTTAAACTTTTATAGTGATTAAATTCTGATAACATTTTATTTTATGGAAAATAAAACCGACAACGAAATCAGGATTTGAAAAAAATTAATTTAGCAAATGTAGAAAATTATTGGAATTCCGAAATTATATGAATTGCATCACATTTCTTATATATACTAATTTTTCAATTCATTTTTTTTTTCTATATATTTCTCAAAAAAATTATAGGTCATATTTTAAATTTATTACTTTCCAGCAACTTCTGCATGGCATAAAACGAAATTTGTTGATTTTTGTTCATTTTTGATATCCGAAGTTCTAAGAACAAAATTTTGTTTATTTTCAGTTTTATTAGGAAAACACAAGCTCATTAGTCCTAAATTAACAACATGTATTTTTAATTAAATAAAATTTGTAATCCCCTGTTGAAAATTCAAATGTTTATCGGCGTCAGTTCGTATTAGTCAACACTCATTAAACTCAAAGAATTTCTTGTACTCATGAAATTTCGTTTTCAAAGAATATTCCAAATTTTTAATCCACATGAAAATTTCTTTAAATTACATTCTGAATTTTTTTTTTTACAAATAAATTTTAAATTAATAATGCCTAATAACATGCTATTTCAAGTGGTTAAAATGCAAAGTAAACTTTTGATGAAAACAAAATAATTTTAATTTAAATGTAAGTGAACTTAACATCTCAGACCTACCCTTGAAAATGTACATGTGTATGCTACAATTGTGAATAAATTATTTATTTAGAAAATTTTATGAAATTTCATTAAAATTTTTAGAGAAAATTTTTATTTTATTTGCTTTTAATTTATGAACGTTTCAATTTAATAAAAAAACGTTTATTAGAATATAAGAAAAAGCTATTGAGACTTCATAAGGGTTAATTTTATTATTTTTTCATTATTTTTCTTTATAAATTTATTTTTGGTTGAATTGAATTTCCACAACCAATTATCTTCTGCAAAATATAAATTTAATGTTTCATTTTTGTAAATATTTTTATAAAATTATTGGTCCTATAAAATAGCTTCAAGCTAAAATCATTCATTCCCTTGTGTAGCTATGAGAATTTATAACGTTCCAATGAAAATGTCTCTTAGAAACTAACCAAAAATATTTATTTTTAAAAATAACATTTTATTTTATTGTAAATGTATCTGTAGTATAGATTTTTAAAATTTCGGGTAAAACTTTAACACAGCTGCAATTTACTTATCCAAACCATAATTTATTTCGGAGGAATTTTTATCTTAAATGTCTAAACACTAAGAATTCAGGGAATTAAAAAGAAAAAAGTTATTTAATTTATTAAAAAATAAAAAAACTTATGAAACAAAAAGTTGCTCGAGGTTTTTATAAATAAAATGTGTTCTCTAATATTATTATTATACCCTATGATAAGCAAACATAACGTCAATAATCGTTTATTCAAAAATTATCTCAAATATTCCTCAAAATAACATTTCAAAAAATATTGCATAGCGTTAGGTGAACAATTTTAATGTTCATGTGTTTGTGAAAAAAAATTATTCCAATGAATTAACACTGTAATATGGCCGTTACCATAGATGTAAAGTGGTGGGTAATTACGCGAAATGAGCGGACATGTCTTAAACGGGTAGAAAGTAATTCGTTGACGCAAATTTTAGTAGACTTTCTTAAATGAGTATTTTATTGAAGGATAAAAAAACTAATTTTAATCAAATTTAGTGGAAATTTTAGTTGTTAGAAACTCTGCATCTATATGAGCAGTGTCATAAATGATCGCGTATGTATATATAAATCGTTTTAATATTCAGAAATTCTGAATAAAAAACGTATAGGCGGAAAATTTAAAAAAATTGAGAAACTTTCTAAATCAAGAGTTGCTTGTAAAATTAATGAAATTTTTTATGCTCTCATTACACTTTAAACTTGAACTTGAAATCTCAACAAAATTAATTTTATAAATTTGAACTTTTATTTATATTAAATTAGGATAAAGTAACTCTTTAGATTATGATTGAAAGATCTTACATTTCCTTTATGTTATTCGTTTTAATAGATGAAAATATCAATTTGCCTTAAGGTTTTCCTTTATGTAAGAAATAAAGACAAAGTAATAAAATTGTTTGTCTTAAAAGACATTGAAGAAATTCCTATTTTTTCTCTTCATTTTTTTTTTTGTAATTCAGCAATATTTTTAGTACTCAATTATTTCGTTTTAAGATCAACGAAGACCACATATACTTACGCCTATACAAGGTTTAGGGGCAATTTTTATATTGAAGAAAAACTTTTTTCTTTTTTTTTATTAAGACCAATAATAAAAGGCAAAATAAAAAATAATAAATAATAAGTATGTGATCATATAAAAACCAATTCATTTGCCTCATAAAAATAATGATATCCTTGAGATATAATCATTACGGGTCAATCGCAAATAAATAAAGTTTTTAATATAAAGGTTTTGCACACGTGGATTTCTTTGAACTCAAGCATTGTTATCTTTTATACTTCAAAATTAATTTATATAGTCAGTAGTAAAGAAATTGATGATTTCAAATGAAATACAAAAAAAAATCTTTTTTGAATTAATTATAATTGCCTCGGTAGTTTGTGTTGTCACACCTACTCTTTTACTCAAGAATACTAAGAGAGACGACAATTAAATTTGTACCTTAATAAAAAGGAAATCAATTAGCACAATTTTTACTTATACTTCGGTAGACGTTAATTTTTCTTATAGCTTTCAAACTCTAAAATTCTTAAATTTTTGCTTAAATTTCGATAAAAGTTTAAAATCCTATAATTGAGACTTTAATTTTCATTTTAAAATGATATTCACTATTTCATATAATTCGAAGTATAATATAGTTTGCCGCGTAGCCACTTTATTACCAAAAACATACAATTTTATGGTTCATCATTTATGTTAAAAATTTGATATTTATACTTCTCCTTTTTTGTATCATCTTACAAATTCAATTGAAAATCCTTGCAGAAAAAATTTATACCCCGCCATGTACTTATGTACATTGCTATCATTCATACTTATAAAAAATATACACTTTTGAACTCAACAATATAAATGATGTTCATTTTCTATTACTTAGATGATGCTTTAACCATCGTATTACCAATAAAAGTAAACTTTAATTTCAGTGTAGGTAGATACTTGCTATTTTTTATATACATAGCTAGTACAATAAGTACTATATAATATTATATATAGTATGTGTATATGAAATAAATACAAACCACAAATATCTATTTCACTTAAATTTAATTTTTGAAAAGGATATTTAATTTAGATGGATGTGTCTTTTTTTTGTGCATTATAATCCACTTAAAACAGACGAAAAAAAGCAGCTATATACAAGCAAGCTACATTATACAATGAAACACTATAAAATTTTATGTTTTATAGTCAAGTTTTAGGAAATATATTTGTTTCAAAACTTTATACGTTTGTTTGTCTGTTGCTTTCAATAACAATTTTTATTGACTGTGGCAAACTCAATGGTACCGTAGCAAAGGTAATATAAAACTCAAAAGTTATAGGTGAAATTAAATTTTAAAATTGTTTGATATATTTTGAGTTTGTTTACAATATTCCAGAAATCTTCAGAACTCATTCCCAAAAATCTCCCGTAAGAAAGATTATAGATCTCGTCGTGACCTTTTCATCATTACTCCGTATGACCACATTTGTCCAGATCTTTTCATCATATTTGTTGTCATTTTGTTAAAACAGAACTTAAAATGGCTTCGAGCCATTAGATTTCCCAAGTTTTTTTTTAATATCTCGATACAGTTCTTAAAAGACTTCTCAAGGTTATTAGTGATCGGATGAGCGCTTTATTATTTTAGAAGTGGTCATAAACAATTGAGTTGAATATTTTCAGAAAAAAAAGCAATTGCAATTAGTTAGTTAGTTGGTTTGCCAAGACATATCGCATGGCCCTTTTTAGTTAAGTTACACCAAGCACTAGACCGAAAATCAGGTACTTTGAAAACCAATTTCAACGCAAAGTTTATAGAAGAATCCCGCCGGATCACAGAAGCTGGCCTACCTGCCTTATAAATCTCAAGAATTTTTCTAGAAAAATACATACTAGCAGAGAACGGGATACGCACATTCACCATTTCGCCTGTCTATAGCCTGAAAGATATGTCTTTCGATACTTTTCGCTTTTATGTCACTAAAATAAACTCTTGAGGCGTACGTTGGACTTTTTATAGCTAGCTTGGCTTCCCGGCTAGCGTATTCGTTACCAAAAATGCCACAGTGTCCTGGAACCCAAACGATCTTGATAGTCTTATCTGAGCACACCAGCACATTCCTAATTGCCTCTACTAGAGGAGATATACTATAGAGCGCTACATAGATATTTCATTGTCTCAACATGGCAAATCAAACACAACAAGCATAATATATCGCAAATTGTATAAGGAAATAGTCTCACGAAACTCTCACGCGTATTGTATTGTTACGGATGCTTCGAAGACCGAAGGCGGTGCTGGCCTGGCTGTTGGATATCCTGATAGCCCCGATATGCACCCGAAGGTCATATCTTACGCATGAGGAAGTATTCCGTCAGGAGACCAAAGACCACACTCAAATCGCCCTTCACCAGCAACGAACCCTTGTATCACTCCTGCACGACCAGATGGCTATAGTTCATTTTGAATTATTTGTTTATTATTTATCACAGTAGTGGCAACACTTTTCCAAAAAAACTCCTTACATGCCTCATTATATAACTGACGTGAATTTGGTAATCATTTCGTTTACTGAAATTTTTAAAATCATTCAATA